TGGATGGATGGACGGACGGACGATGGATGGATGGATGGATGGATGGATGGATGGGCGGGTGGGTGGAAGGCTGTTGGGTGGATGAATGGATGAATAACACAAGTTACCCTCCAAAAAGACAATTGTCGTGGTGGGGCAGTTTGCATTCTCTGCAGCCAAGCAGACCCCAGGAGGCCACGTGTCCCTGTCCCGGCCCCGGAGAAAGACGTTCCGAGCAGGCCGCCCTCTTGGCCTTGTTTTTCCATTGCTGGGCACTGTTCCCATAGCTCCCCCCTTAGAATGCTGTACCCCCACATCAAACCCCACCTCCAGCTCAAGGCCTCCTGTCCAGGGACCCTGATCTCCCCCAACACCCGGAGGCTGGGGTGCCCCCAGCCTATCTTCCTTTTCTGCCAGGACAGGTGCACTGAGGGAGGCGGAGTTGGGCACAGGGACACATGGTAGCTGTGCCCTTGAACACACGCAGGCCCAGCGCCAGGCTCGGCCGCTTCCCAGAGTCGGAACTTTCCTCCCAAACGGTAAGGATTGAGTCTGATAAAGCGTGCGGTACCTGGCGCGCACTCAACAAGTACTCGACAGGCACGTTAACTGACCGATTACTTGGCGCCTCTAAAGGAGCGGCCGTTCTCGGGGGAAACCAAGCCAGATTCCTTTCCGACGGCAGAGCCCTGTGAACAGAGCCCCCTCCGTCCGCATGACCACATCTCCGCTCTTGGCTGGTGGCTCAGCATTATCCCGCCTCTGAGTGGATGAGAAGGACCACCCCTCCAGGCTTTGTTTTCCGTATTTTATGGTGCCTCATCAAAGGGGGGGTTGCTCTGGTGTCTCCCCGAAATCCCTGCAAACTCTGAAACAGTCTGGAGCCCAAGGCCAGGAGCGGTTCCCGTGAATGCTCGTTTCCAGACCGTCCGGCTCAAAGGCGACGGGTGCCACAGCCATCGGGGCAAGGCTTAACCACGGGCATCTCCTCTAATCCCTCCTCTGCTCGAGCCTGCAGGGGCCCAACTCCCTCACACACGAGCAAAGTCCTTACGCCGGTCTACAAGGCCCCCAGCGCCTGGCCACACACCCCCCTCCCCTGAGCGCCCTGATGCGGCCTCCCGAGCAAGCCTGAGCACCCAGGGCGGGCTCCCCTCAGGACCTTTGCACATGCCGCTCACTCTGCCCGCAAGGCTTTTCCCCCAGATCCCCACATGGCTTCCCCATCCCTTCCTTCCTACAGGTCTCTGCAGAAATGGCCCTACATCCAAGAGGCTTTCCGTGACCCACTACAAACGGCAGCTTCCCTGCCCCAACCTGAACCCCCACTGCCAGCACCACCGCCATTCGGCACAGCCGTGACGCTTCTCCCGCTCAAGCTCTGTTCTCTTGCTCTTGGTCCCCAGTGGGCGCCCAATTAGTGGCGACTGAGTGGATGGAGGGATGGGAGGCATTCATTCACCTATCAATAATAATAATCAACGGTAATCATCATCATCGATAAGTGACTGTGCATGAATCAATACGGGATCAGTGAGTGCAAGGTCGTGCGTTGTAGCGGGGTTCCTACAGGGGCAGGAGCAGGCGCTCCGATGGGCGTCGGGGACCTCCTCTCTCAGGAAGCAAAAAGAAGTTGCCGCCTGAAAGATGTGTGAGGGTAGGCAGCACCTCAGGCAGAAACAAAGTGTGCAAGGGTCCTGGGGCAGCGGTAACAGATGAGCACACAGAAATGCGTCCTCTCCCCGTCTGGGGGCCCGAAGCCACAAGTCAAGGTGCTGGCAGGGCCGTGCTCCCTCTGCAGGCGCTGGGGGAGGCTCCCTCCTGCTCTCCCAGCTCCTGGGGCTCCAGCGTCCCTGGGCTCCGTGGCCACGTGGCTTCTCTGTATGTTCTCTCTTCTCCTAAGGACACTTGCCCTTGGATTTAGGGCCCACGCGTGTAATCAAAGATGGTCACATCTCGTGATCTCTTAACTCGATTACACCTGCAAAGACCCTCTTTCCTAAATAAGGTCACACTCACAGATGCTGGGGGTTGGGACTCGGACAGATCTTTCCGGAGCCACGACAAACATCCTGATGGGGTGCTGTCTGGGTGTGACCAGATGGGGAAGCTGGGCGTGAGCAGGTGTGACTGCCCCACCGCGCCGAGAAGTGGGGGCCGCAGGTGCCCTCACAGCCGTGGGCTGACCCGGAGGAGGCTGAGTGGCCTACGTCCCCGGGCCAGCGGAGCGCTGGGCAGACCCCCGGTGCTCAGCAAACACATCGGCGTGAATCCCCCGGGCCCCGAGGTACGCTCTGTGAGGGACCCGAGGTGCCCCCCCAAAACGAGCCCAGGGTGCTCCTTGCCTCGATGGCTTCCCCAAGACAAGAGGGTCCAGCGTGAAGGTCTCCACAGGCCCTTCCTGGGAAAAGCTCTCCAAACACACCGAGGGGCCTACCCGTCTGGTCATCTGCTCACTGGGCAGCAGGTGCCTCAGCCCATTACCGCCTCTGCACGTCACCACCCCAGCCACACAGCCACACACACACACACACACACACACACACACACCAGGGCCCCCTTCTTCCTCTCCTCCTGGACACACCCTTTGCAACATCCACGCTCCGGAACCCTTTCTTCCGCCCAGAGGCTGTGATCCCTGAAACCCCCAGAGCTGCCATTCGCTGTCCCTGCCTGTCTACGGCCAGGTCCCTGTGTCACCAGACACTGCTCCTGCCCGCACCCTGCCAGCTCAGCAGAGGGCTGGCCCAAGAGAGAGGCGGCCTCCAAGTGGCCCCCAGCGGGAAGACAGAGAGGAGCAGGCCGGTCCCCACCGCAGGCTCAGAGAATCACCCAGAGGCGCCTTCCCACAAACGCCTCCCTAGGCGGACGGGCCCGGGAGGCAGGGCCAGCAGGCCTCGGGGGAGATGGACGGTTGGTTTTGCTCCGCGGATCTGGACAAACTGGAAATGCAAAGGCCCGCGCCGGGCGTCCCTAGCCGGGCAGACTGGAGGTGCTTCAAAGAGCCGGGCACGGCCAGTTCACACGGCCGCGGCCAAGCCCAGCTCGGTCGCCCATGCCGCTCACCCCCGGGCCCGGGCGCCCGCCCCGCCGCCAGCCGCAGCTCCCCAGACCCTGCACGCAGAGCGAGGCATCTGACCACCAGCACCAAGGCCTCCTTCTACGTCAGATATTAATCAAACGCATCCTGACAATGATCAACGGAGGCGGCTTGGCAGCGTGGGCCTGGCGGGCCTCCAGGCCCACCTCCAGCTACAGGAAAGACGAGGCTGACAGAAGCGGTCCTTGGCAAGGGACGGCACATTGTCCCACAGCTGTGGGAACGTGCTCTGTGCGCAAACATTTCCTTAAAACGAGCTTACGAGGAAATGTTCGCGACGGCCTTAGTAGAGACCATCAGCCTGGCTGAGCGGGGCGAGAGTAACGTCAAGCCCCAGCCACGTCCCAGACTCCAAGGGCCATGCGAGCGGCCGGCGGGGGGATGGCTACACCGCGGCGGCGGCCGGGGAGGGCCCTGCGGCACTCTGAGCGGCTTTGTGGCTGGCACACGCTTCCAAGTTGGCTGGGGGGGGGGGGGGGGGGGGGCCCCCGGCGCCCCCCGCCTCCAGTGCACTGGAAACTCATGAGGACTCGGGCTGGCAGAGGTGGGGAGTGGGCTGGGGCGGTGGGGGGCCTCGGGGCCGCCCTGCAGGAATGTCGGGGTCTGGCTCGCTTTCTGAACCTGCCATATGGCCCCGCGTCCTGGGACCCAGGCTGGGAGCCAAGGAGGAGCCCTGTGGCTGGGTCCACGGCCCTCCTGGCCGCTGCATGAAGCCATTTGTCAAAGGTGTTTCCCAGAAGCCCCTCTGGAAGGCGCTGCCATTCGCAAAGCCGGCTTGGGCTCCAGCCAGGCGGAGACGTCTGGGGGCTCTTGGCCAAAGCGCCAGCCGTCCCGAGATCAAAAGTCCCTCTCCTGGTGATGCTTGGCTCTCGGCGGCAGGCGAGCTCGCCGCGGGGTCACCGACGGCTGGGCGAGGCCGGGGCCGCCTCTCCCAGACGACGACGGCGTGGCCGCGGGGGGCCGACCGCAGGCGTGCCCTGCTGATCCCCACATCGCAAAAGGTCCACGGCGGGGAGCTCCCCCCGGACACCCAGGTTTGTTCAGGGATCATC